GATTGAAGTTTATAAACAGTAAATTCGACCTTGTCTACCGTAAGGTTCTTTGTGGCCGAGACGGTTAAGGCACGTCAGCGTATGTGACGGTTCCGTATAGGATGCAGGTTCGAATCCTGTCAAAGAACGAATATTTTCTATGAAAATTTCTCGGACATTCAGGCCGGTAAATGTTATTTAATACTGTTTATCATAAACAGAGCATTTGCTTAAATTCTTGTATCTATAAATAACAACGTTAAACATAAAAAAAATGTTTTTATATATATATATATATATTACCAATATCTGACTGGTCGGGATAATTCCAAGGAAGTGATAAGGATAACTCCAAGGAGGTTTATATATATATATATATATAGGTACCAACATGAGATCGCTGGAAAATGAGCATAGCAGGATAATAACGGCCTCAAACTTGATGAAAACAATTTTTTATCGTCTAAATGTTTGTTTTTATTAAGAGGAAAGAACAAAAATTATTTCTGGACACAAAAAAACATGTTATATGAGATTTTTATCTATTTGCAGATTGCTGATTGTAACCAGCTTTATTTTATAATCTGTAATGATATTTATCTACTTAATAACACCATTGACCAAACTGTACAACATTTTCATTAAGTTTAGAATATTTAACAACGTTAATGTAAAAAATAAAATAATTTAAGAAATAACAAATAATTGTTGTAAAAATTTATATTCCATCGAAAACGTTTTTTGCTTTCAAACAATATTATCGATATTCATAAAAAACAAGTAAAAGCAACTAAAAGCTTTTGAAATTAAATAATATCTTTGTTTTATTGAGTTTTGTATATTACAATTTAGAGCTGATTTTAAGGTAGAAGGGTGTCAGCTAAAAAAAAATGTTTTACTTTCCTCAAAGTCTTGTGCTTTTAACAAATTAATCACTAAAAATGTGCACATTTGAATTTCAAGAGTTTTCATAAAATTAGTTATGGGGGTGGATAATAAATATAAAAAACATTTTGCCATGATTTAAAAACTCAAATTAACATATTTATAATGATTTCTATCATTTGTGAATAGTTTCTGAAAATTTAATTAAAATCCGACAATTGCAAGATTTTCAAAATTAATAATTGCCATTAAAAAAATGCACAAAAAATCCGCCATGTTATTTAGTAGGACATTCGCTGATGAAGAGAAATGAGGTTTTTCAATCAGAAGTTAGAATACTCTAATAAAGACAGAAAAATTTTGAAAAATAATTAAAAATTACTTTGTTCTTTCCTCTTAATAAAAACAAACATTTAGACGATAAATTTTTGTTTTCCTCAGTTTAAGGCCTTTATTATCCTGCTATGCTCATTTTACAGCGATCTCATGTTGGTACTATATATATATATATATATATATATATATATATATATATAAATAATTCTTTTCAGCTCTATCAACCTACCTCAATTTGTACATATCTATCTATCTATCTATCTATCTATCTATCTATCTATCTATCTATCTAATTATCTATCTATCTGTGTCTGTCAACACATATCTATCTATCTGTTCATATTCACACTTTTTACCACTATTCCTTTTGTAGGTTATGAATGATTTAAAACCTCTGATATTCTCTCACGCTATATATATATATATATATATATATATATATATATATATATATATATATATATGGCGTGCAACAGCAAAATTGGCTAAATCCTGTAACAGCGTAATTATCCACCCCATAAACTGTTTAATATATAGAAAACGACTAAACTAATTGAGATTCAGTTTTCCAGATTTTCAGACAATACTTTTAGCTATGTTGACACTATTTGTTGTAAGAATCACTGAAAATCCTTCTGAGTTACTCAGTTAAAAAGAGAAGAGTTTAAAATTGTTATGTGTAAGATCTACTGTCTTCCCAACTGAGCAATGGTAAGAAGAAAGATATCATTCAGGCTTTCAGTAATGGTACCAACGTTGACACTCTGGCTTCCATTTTCGAAGTCCATTCAAGAAACATTAAAAGAACGCTGAATAAGTTTAAAAAGAGGGAACAGCAAAGAGGGAAAATGGATCAGAAGGTCAAAACAAGAAAGAGGGACCATCATTTCGATTTAGAGCTAAAGAGATCAATTAGAAAAGATTCAAATTAATTCACAAGACGTTTGGCACATGAGAGAGAAGTTTCAGCTATGACAGCCTAGAGAGCAATAAAAAAAAGACATGAAAATAAAATCGTACGTGAAAACTGTGAGGCAAATTATTACTCCAGAATATAAAGTTAGATGTTTAGAATAGGCGCAGCTCGTCGTGAATATGTTTGAAAATGAGCTGGAATAATATATATAATAATATATATATATATATATATATATATATATATATATATATATATATATATATATATAGATATATAAATATATATATATATATATATATATATATATATATATATATATATTTGAACATAAGTTCAATCCTTCATGAGCTTCCTGATCCTTAGCTATGTTTAATCAATGATGAACACGACATTTTTGTTTATGTTCCATTTCATCATTATACTTCTGTTAAGCTTAGAGAGTAATTATACATAATTATAGCTGAAAGTAGAGTCAAATATTGTTATAAAAACTCGGAGAAATCCAGTAAGATATCTTTAATCATTCCTAAGATACAACGGTTCAGAACTAACAAATGGACAATTTTTCTTTTACACGATTTGGACCATTTTACTGTTAGACCCGGCCTACCCACCACACACATATACACACACATACATACATACATACATACATACATACATGTATATATATATATATATATATATATATATATATATATATATATATGCAAATGTAAATGTCACTTTAGCTGATTGATGTTATATTTACTATGTATGTATTTCTAAAAAAAAATCAATGCATTTTGTAATCGGATATTTTATTACTTCAGTCGTTATTTTTTTGTGAATACCGGTGTTGGTAATGGACGTAACTGTAAATTAGGAATATTCCTGACAAAGAATTCAAGAGACAAGTTTTTCTCCACAGTTCAGTCTTGTTAACCAAATGAAGCGCTATAGTCAACAATATTGCCTGAAATTATTCAGCAGCAAAACCTAACATGTTCCGTGGGCGCATTTAATGCCAGACCATGCGCTAGCTTTAAAAGCTATCTTTTTTTTCCAGATCAGAACCATACTCTGGTAAGCTGTAGCCAGGAATGACGCCGAATATGTATGCCGCATATATCTATTTGTTACCAAAACAAATGCAGTTTTAAGAATCCATATATGATCTCTTGAAAAAAAAAGAAAAAAAACAAAACAGTAATGAATAATTTAAGAAAGTGGTCATTTTCGAAATCGAGTACTCAGATATCGTCTACATTCCGATGACTTTAATCCGTCACCCTTGGGATCAAGCCACAGCCGGACTAAAGAAAATACCCCCACCGCCTCCCCCCACCAAAAAAACCTATATAAGCATAAACTTGCCAACTCGCTCGCTCGCTCGCTCGCTCGCTCATTCATTCATTCATTCATTCCTTTCTTTGTTTTGTCAAACTGTTCTTTGTCTGTGAATATATTTTTCTTTCTTTTAGGATGTTTTCTTTGTTTCTTTCCTTGTTTAACACTTGTCACTTCATTAATTTTTCCTTCCTAAATTCTTCTTTCTTCATTCATTTTTCATATCTTCATTCTTAGATTCTTTTTTTGTTTCTTTTTTGTGTTCTTTTTTGTTTTTCTAGTTTTTCTTCATCGAACTCTTCTTGCTTGATTATTTTCTTTCTTTTTTCATTCTTTCTTTTTTCATTCCTCTCTCTTCATTATTATCTCTCGTCTAATTTTTCTTTCATACTTTATGGTGTTATCAAAGGCTGAACGAAGCTTAAAATAGGAAATAAAAGCTTCCAAACAAGGTTTTTTTTTTCCAATATTTGAT